GGGTAAAAACTACCCCCTTTCAAGTGTCTATTTAGTAAAATCGATCAAGAACAAATCGAAGGTAAAAGTAAGGATACTTTAAAGATTTCACCGCTATTGGAATATTATTTTTCAATCGACAAGACATGTTTCGCGTATATTAATAAAAATTGACCCAAATGGATTCAGTGACGTCACACGCATAACCGTGTCCATTAATTTTTGACAAATGTAGCTAAATAAATACTTCCTCCGATGTAATTTTTACTCGCTGAAAGTGGATATCAGCCGATAAAAAATGCACGTCCAATATTTTCCAATGCTGTTGGATGACGTTGCTTGTCAGTCTTTTTAACAGTACCTTTATATTTCAAACACAACGCACGTCGATACCGTGACCACGTACAGTTCGCATTTGTTGATTCTGGGGATATTTTTGACACGTCAAATATTATGAGAATATGCGTGGACGATTCCGCGTTTGTTTAAAATAAAATTCATCGAAAAATTGGAAAACTGAAAAAATTGAAAATTCTTCTTCGCGTATCGTTGACTATGATCCCTGTGCTCCTGGTAATCGAAGAAATGAAAATTACTCTTTTTATTCTCTAACAAATATTTCTGTACTTGTATCTGTAGTACTCGAGAATTTCGAACATTATTTTCCTGGTGTTTCAACTATTTCCTGTATTTCTGGAAATTGGCAAAATTGAAAATTATTTCCTTCGTACCTTCCACCAAAATTATCAACGCAAAGACTCGACCGTAATTAAAAATTATCTTCCTCGTACTTCCACCCATTTTTCCCAACGTTTCTGTCAGCCATCCGACTGTCCGAAATTCCAGCGAAATACGAAAGTCTCGCGCGACATGATTTTCCACGCTACGTGATACGAAATCCTCGCGCGAACGAACGAGAATCTAGTACAACTTCGCCGATTCTACGAATGCAAGCCGTCGTTTTCGCGGCTGTAACCGATAAACTTTGTCAACGACTTTGTCGCAGAGTTGCTATTCATAGCCAATAAAATCGGAAGGGGGTCCTGAGGTGCGGGCACTCGTGGTCCCGATCGCTGAGGCCATCGTGGCGATCGTTACAAATTTATCGAGTTAAGACATCGCTGTAGTTAGTTGCACGGCAAACTGCATCGTAAAGTTGGTGAATGCTCGTGTCGAATCCACGATTATTCTTAACATGTAGGAATGGTGGGGGAGGAGGTTGGTTACCGTTGAATTTCGAACGAATCGACTACTATTCTTTGGTTTTAAAAAGCGTTGGTAGGTTAAGTCTGTGTTAAAACCTAAAAATTGTATTGAACCGTGTAGTTCAATGATACCAGATGAATGCCTCAAGAAAAGGTATGTTGATTAGCTTTACTGAAAGGCTATCAATTAAAAAATTTAGAAAAAAAGAAGCTACATCTATTAGGTTGTCCCGAAAGTTTCTTTCGCGAGTTGCACTCAATTATTTTACGTGGTCGTGATTATATAAATAGACAATCTAATTTCATAGATATTCATGTTGTAACAGTAATGGAGCAAAATGAATCGTGCGCAATTCAGTAATGTAACATAAAACAGAAAATATTGTGCATGTATTACTTATTAATAAAGCGAAAGCAACTTTTCTCGTATAAATGCATACGTTCCGCGTACAAGCGAGTATATTTCCCGTATTTGCATCCCTTTTGTGTTCATTTTTAACCACGGCTATTCAACGGAATCTAACGCAACGTGAATCGGTTTTGGACTCTGCTACCTTAAGCGAATATATCGGAATCCTTGATCGGAACGTTGCCGTGAATGCCGCGAATCGCGCGTTTCTTACGTTCGCGAGGTTTTAAATTATTACGAAGAACTTCTCAGGCAATGCTTCCCATAAATGATATTTTTATGCGATGACTTAACTTTCGTGTCTTATCAGACGCATCGTGCTATTAGAAAATTAATTCTGTTTAATTGTTGCTCCGGTATTTCACATCTGGGCATTAAAAAGTAATAGATACCTAAATGATTCATTGATAGAAAATCAGAACCACAATTGTAGACTTTCGAGTGATTATTTGCAGCGATGCGAAGTTACATCGAACTCGCAAGAATCTCAAAATCTCGAAACAGTAATTTCTGACTGAGACTTTTGCGTATAATAATCAGAAATCAGGGAATAGGATGGATATAATTGTACTCGAGGCAGCAAGAGGAACGGGAGCTGAAAGGAAACCCGGACGAACGAACAATACTCCATTAAAAAAGTTTTAAACAGATAAGCTAATGTCTTCCGGTCTAGTCAAGTGAAACTCGCAAACATCTGGAATCTAATGGCGAAGACTTCGTAAGATTGCGCAAACCTAATGCGCGTCTACATTTAAATCACAGAAACTGCTATTACGCATCCGTCTAAAAATGTGCAACAAACTATTCGTTCACTTTGGAATATTCGCGGTCTACTCGTAATAAAATCAAATTTCTAGAAGTCAATATTTTATCAAGCGACTAGATGAAATGTTTCATCTATCAAAAAAACAAAATAAATTCCCATATTCGTAATGAATACCGTTCAAAAATAATAATAAAATACAATAAAAATACTTCTAATATAAAATGGATCGACCGAAAAATGTTATAAAATCGAGCATCCATTAATTCATTGCAGCAAATAAAATGATAACTCCACGGCCACTGTTTGTTTGGGATAAAGGGATTCGCGAAATTGAAGTGCCATTCGCAAAATGGTACACCGCGACGGCAATTCCGCGAGAGATTCAATTTGAATAATGAAACAATGTGGTACTCACCAAGGACAGCGATGCCCCAGCCGTATCTCGTGACAGAAGCGTGCACAAAACCGACCGACTACTAACTTACTCGTTTTATCGCGACGCAATTAGCCGATCGAATTCAATTACTTTCCGTCCCGTCGTTCAATTCATTCATCGCGGCACCTCGCGTTTCTTCGGCGAACCGATACAGTAGCATTTCGTTCGTAAAGCCTTTAGAACTCCCGGCTTTGTTAATTTTTTTCATATTTTCTAACAAAATATCACCGTGCATCGTCTTTATTCGTTTAATCGGAACGTTTAATCCGAGAGGCAACAACTCTCCAAATGTCTCTCTCGCTTTGTAACTATCTCACGCGGAAACGGAAGCTTCTGTATCCGACAGAACATACTTAAAACTCGGTAAGACGTTTACTTTACCGTTCGAAGGAAGGTGCACAGAATTTATCGGGAATTTGCAAGTGAGAATTTTGTTGAATTGTGCAGCGAAATTTTCTCGATTATTAATTTTGATCTGAAACGTGATAGCGTGACGTCCATTCGAGCACGTTGAATTAATTATTATTGCCTAAGATGTACGACAGTATTTTTAACTCGTTCATGATGTCATTTTATTAATTTTCTTAGGAGAACGAACGTGTAAAAACTGTATGTGTGAATATAATTCATATAAATTTGAAGCAGAAGGATCGATCGAAATAAACATTGTTTCCACTTTGTGTTATGTAAAATTGCCATCGACTAAAATTTAATCATCCAAACTATTCCTCCCTCTCTCGAATAGTGATCGAAAGATACATCGATAAGTAAATTTCAGTTTCCTTGCCTTCGTTTAAATTTGTTTTACTTACAAGCACGTTCAAAAGTATTTTCAGACGAAACGAATTCAAATTTATTTCAATTCGGTCACTCGGCGATTTATAAATTTTGAACACGGTATTCAGGAGGAATTCCAATGAATATGCGCGCATCGAGACAGGAAATGCAATTCAAATTTATTTAATCTTCGATTCCTTCCAGCGCGTGCGAACGTTTGTTTATTTGAAACGCAACCGACACGCGCGATAATATTTTTATGAAAGTTCCAAGGACACTATTCGAAGCTTCACTCGCCTTCACGGGAAACCTCCATTGATAAGGGAGTTGGAAATGCCAGACGACTACGAAACAATTCTCCAATCGAGTCGATTAAAGTTTTACCGTGGGAAATTTGTTTCCGCTAGGAAAACGGAAACTTAAAGCGATAACCGTGTACCAAACACTCTTCTACGATGCTTTAAGATCGCTAATTAAGTTGCCTTGTTGAATTATTGAAAAATTCTATTCCAAAACAAATACATTAAATAGAATCTATTAATATCTATTTAAATTAATTCAAATACTCATCGCCTGTTCAATAAAATCTGTACACGCCTTATCAAACAAAAATAATAGATCGACTAATGCTCAACGATAAACCTCCACAAACCGCCATTTTTCTTTTCGAATACCCCACATTTAATTTCCTATACTTAACCTCATCTACCTATTTCAATTTCGAACCACGCTAGTCAAATATTCACCGTCTATTCAATAAAATCGGTATCCGCCTTATCCAATAACGATAAACCTCCACAAACCGCCATTTTTCATTTCGAAAACTCCACATTTAATTTCCTATACTTAACCTCATCTACCTATTCCAATTTCGAACCACACTAGTCAAATATTCATCGTCTACGCAATAAAATCTGTATACGCCTTATCAAATAACGATAAACCTCCACAAACCGCCATTTTTCATTTCGAATACCCCACATTTAATTTCTTATACTTAACCTCGTCTACGTATTTCAATTTCGAACTACGCTAGCCAAAGAAACAGAACTGCAATAGGATCGAATTGCAGAAATTTTGCGAGGTTATACGTAGCCGCTAGACTTCTATCACTATCGACGTTCTTGGGACAACTGTTGCTCGTACGAACTGTTGCTCGTATTCGATTTGCCTGTGACAGCTGACACGTACTAATTAGTCTATTCAGGTTTCACTGAAAACTTTTAATCTACTTACACCTTCCGTGTATTTCCCTCCAAAAATGTGCAACGTCGAACTCGTTTCCGTCGAGTAACCAACACGCGGTCAAATTTACACGACCCACGGCCAATTCCCTCGCGAGAAATCGTAAATGAGCTTTTCGCGATCTAGAGTACACCGGTGCTTACAACGCTAGCCCGTCACCATTTCGCCAATGTATCGAGTTACCTTTTAGAGGAGCAATAACCGTCGAAGGTTCACCAACAATGCCCGTGGTCCAGATTCCTATTGTCCCACTTCCCAGGAACGAATTTCGTGTTCCTTCCGGTGCCTGTCACATCTTAATGCTCGAGCACAATAACACTTCCGGTACGATCGTTTAACAAGAGTAATAAAACGTTTAGACGCTCCTTCTACTTGAGTGATGTAATTGATGCACGGTGCACATGTCAAACTTTGACGGTTTTAACGTTCAATGGTTTCGCGTTCACTTTCACCTCGCGAGAATGTCAATAGTGTTGAACAATACTCTGCAGTTAACAGATTGTTTAAGATGCATCGCCGTTTTAGACGCTAATCGCGATGTTGATAGAAACAGTCAACTTTTTCCCTCCAAACTGTTCGCCATTTTTGTTAAATGAATTTAACGCGTATTGCCGATTCCGTGTTTTATCGTTCGATGGCAAGAGGATGTAGTTCGATTTATTCGGGATTCGAGTTAAATTAGACACGCGATCGAAACGAGAAACTATCTCCGAAGGAGAACTTCAAAAACTGTGAATCACGCGGCCGCGGAGCGTCAACTGAGAGTTTTCACTGGTGGAAACGTGACTCGAGGTGCGCGCGCAACTGACGCCGGCATGGGGGCGACACTAACGTAACAGTCTTAGGGGATGTTTACAGCGCCGCGGGAACTATGCTGTTCGCATGCAGATTTCAAAAAATTACGAACAAAGAATGCGATAATTAATTATCATACGATGGATGTGGGTAATATTTAAACAATTTTACATTTCGATAGCGACTCCTTTAGGATTTTTATAGCGATTGGAGGTGTACATTAATTTTATAGCCAATAGGAATAGTTCTTTTATTACTTTACCGACTGGTAACTTATCAATAGGCTTTTCGTCTCCAACACTTACCGACTGATAGCCTACTAATCGACTTCTTATGACATTCACCGACTGGCGGTCTATTAATCGTCTTTTTGCTCAAACACTTACGAATTGGTTCTTATGATAATCAATGCTCGTCATAATGCTATTAGATCGAATTACGAATATAAACACATATTTGTGGCTATGAAAGTTTTATTTTGTTTTCTAATCAATGCTCGTCATCATACTAATACATTGAATTACGAATATAAATACATATTTGTGGCTATGAAAGTTTTATTTTGTTTTCTAATAGCAAAAACAGGAAACATTCTATACCATTTGTCTTTTATTAAATAACAAAATCCAGAATCAGACTTTTAAAACAAAAAGACTAATTGTGAGAACCGTTGATTGGAAGATGTAATCTAACGTTGGAGCAATATCTGTATTTCGTTTCATCCGTTTTACTCGAGCAATAACCGAAGTTACATCGAATCGTCGAGAGTAGCCAGTTTAGAAATCGATAGCGTTAATTTGAACCACGAGAAAGGTAATGCCCCCAGCGACGGATAAAATTGCGTATCGTGGCAATGGAACGTAACAAAAAGCGATCCGGTTACGCGTTTAAAATAAAAGGGGGGTAATTCGCCGGATGCTTTCGCGTTTAATAACAAAGCCGGGCGTACAAAGTTTTCGTTCCTCCGCGGTGTAATCGTTTTTAAACTGCGGACGAGGAGTATCGTGACGTCGAGCCATAGAGACCCTTCGGAGCACGTCCAAGCGCAAGAAGTCGAGGGTAGCAATTTAACAACATAAATTTATTGCCGAGACATTGTCGTTACTACCAAAACCAGCGACGCTCGCTGTTAGGCGAACACGTGAAGCGTGTTGTTAATAGTCACGCGAACAACAGCAATCATTTCTCGCCGACTGTAATGAATCGACGTGTAACTTTCCACGTAATGGGGAGCTGAAGGGGTGAAATTAAATTTCAATCGAACGCTAGAACACAATTCGACGCGTGCTCTTTATTGGATGCCTGATCTCGTTGTTTGGGTGGTGCGTAGCATTTGTTATCAACAAAATTGAAACGCTTTTGTTTTCATAAGCATCGTTAGTTTATTAACAATGTTACACGCACAATCATACATAAAACAACCTCGATTATAGATATTTGTGTCCCTTGTTTACAGAAACGGGACTCGCTATATTGTTTTAAGTCGTTATCTGTATGCCATGTCCGTGTCGTGTGCCAGTACACCGTTGTCGATTATACGAACCGACTATTATTTAATTTACACGGTACGGGCTGATGTAACTTACAAAAAAAAAAAAAAAAAAAAAAAAATGAAAAAAAAAAGATAAGGGAGGAAGAGGTAAGAGGCCGGAAGGGAGGATAGCGGAAGGGCGCAAGTATTTCAACGGAATAGAAAAGTAAACGAAAAATAATATCGTATCCCCCTCCACATATAAAAATTACAAATTACATCCAGCCGACCTGGATCGTTTATATTTATACATCTTATAAAACTCGTTTCCTCTTTTTTTTTTTCTTTCTTACGGCAAGGAATGAACGAATATCTACATTTCCTTGTAAAATCGTCGGAATTTACTTGGTGTTTAGTACCGGTTTAGACGATCCGCCTAAGTATTTCGAAGTTCGTTGAGAAGGGAAAGGGAAATTGACAAATATCGCCTACGCATCGACATCAAGAGTACCGACGGCTCTTTTCCTGCAATCTTTCTATCTCTTTATCTTTCTCGTCGCAAATGAACATCGCTTCATTTTTCTTCTAAGGCCCTTCTGTCTCTTTCGCTCTCGCTCATCTAAAAAAATCAATCGTACTCGGAAAGAGGGTTGGCGTTTTTGTTACTTTTGTACAATCGTGTTTTCGACACCTGGTTGAAGGAAAAGGGTCAGAAATCCGCGGGGGGGAGGGGGGGAGCACATCCACAGATGCAACGAGAAGTGCATCCAATCGTAAACTGTTTCGTGTAGTCCTTTCCTATCTACAGAAAATGTATTGCTCTGCTTGTTTTCTTTGTTCTTTTTTTTCTCGACTTTCTCTTATTATCACCTCGCTCGCCTCTAAACATTCTTATGTAACGCTCGATCGAAAAAAATTCATAGACGAATTCGTTATGACGTAGTTCGTTTCACGTTGTACGATACACCTTCGGATAACTGGAACAAAATCGGATAAAATTCAACGACGATATTCTTATCGTTCTCGACTGCGAAGCGATGCGTGTAACAGTGGCAAGGATAATTTCGTTTCAGTTATCTGGAGTTATTACTGTATTCGGTTGATACACGAGACAGGGCAATTTCGCTGGAATTGCTATCACTTTAGCCGCAGTAATCGACATCGCGAGTCGCTGGATATTCGCTTTTACTCGTTTTCTTTTACTTCTTTTTCTACTTCGTCCTCATCGCGATTAAGACCACCGCCGTGGCTGAATACTACGAACGAGGAAAGAAAACGCATCCTATGTGCTCACCGAAAGGAAACTGATGAATTCTTTTTCCACGAATCAAATGGAGATTATAAGAAACCATTCCATCCTCTTTTCTCGTTCTTAATTAGGTCCGCGAGGAAGTGCTTCCTCGTTGTCAATAGAAACGGGAAGTCGATTACTTTTTCCCCTTTCCATTACAATATATCATTATGCATTACAATAGTTTCCTTTCTTTTTTTCATTATGCCTCAGTTTTTCGTCCGCGATCGCTAATTTACTTTACCCGTAATCGTCGAACACATAAGTAAGGTAACATCAACGGTCTCAGGGCGGAATAAATCAAGTGAACATATCAATTTCGTTTAGTTTTCGTTTAATTTTTCAAACAATTAATCACGCCCAATTAACGATTTCCGAGCGATAAATCGTCTCGATTTAAGACGCTCTTACAGATCGACGAGGCATACTTTTAAGGATGTATACATTTGTTACGTTGGAACTAAAAAAACGACGAAATTTACAGTCTAATAAAAAAAAAAAAAAGAACTTTACAATAAAAAAAAAATATATATATATAACTCAGTTTCGAAAGAAGGCGAGTAACACCTTTGAAAGCTCATGGATCATCGTAAATTCTATCCAAAGAAGAAAAAACAAAAAAACTGCGTGGAAATTAAAAATAATAGACCGATTCCCCAGGTAAATTCGTGGCAGATCGTTTTTATTCTAACTTTACATTCCAATTACTGATATGTTCCCTTAGGAGCGGTAAATTTTCAATGATTTCGTCGCATTCCAGTGACGACGCATCGTCCGATACGCGTTCCGTCGTCTGAAAACAAGAGTCGCGACGACTCGACGCGTCATACTTGGCACGAAACCACGCGAAGCAGCGCTCTACAGTCAAACAAACGAAAAAAGAAAAATCAGATCATTGAACCGAAGGCACCGTGTTATTTCGCGATTCCACGAACGCTATAAGAAAAGAAATAAATAATAAATACAAAAAATTAACATCGTCCGTAGGAATGAATCGTTTCGCATGCGTCTTCGTTATTCGGTCGAAACGAATTCTCGGTTAATTCGACGAACGATTCGTCGTCGAATCGTTCATTTATTCTCTATTCTGTTTCTTACATTTCTTAAAGAAACAACTACCTGTTGTAGGTTCAACCTAGTAATGTACTTCCGTTACACACATACACATTCTATACTTTGCATGTAAGTAATGCCTATTTTCCAAAAGTATATTATGAAATCTATGCTCCGACCAGAAAATCACGCCGCGATTCTCTAGACATCGGCTTTGGGTAGAATTTTATCGTTTCTTCGTCCACCTCGGGATACTCTTATCGAGACACATTTGACTCGATCATCTCTCTCGTTCGTTTAACGCGTTTCCGCGATACCTTGACTTGCATTTCGTGATGCCTTGAAAAACAACATTTTGTACTATCATTATAAGTCGGACGCGTCGTCAAACGTATCGCAGTTACGCGTCCGCAATCCGTCTGTAAGGTGATGACACGTTTTCTTTTTTTTTTTTTCTTCCTTTTTGGAGGTAGCACGAGATAATCGTCGCTGGACGAAACCGCGTACGCACACAACGGATTCCAGTTACGCGTGAACAGTAATCGGATACAGGAGAATAATTAGCGTTCGTTGGTCGATGTAACGACTACTATTCGGTGTAAATCAATCGTTCCACTTTCTTGATCTCGATTTCTCCGATAATCCATCGTATCCAGGGAAGAATAGCGATCCCACAGGGCGAAGATGCACTGTTTTGCGCAAAGCGTCCACTTTCCTCCCTATCTCCATTCGTGTCCTCTCGACGCCACGTGTTCATGCGATGTTGTACTTTTTCATTTAGTATAAATGTCTCATCCGGTGAGATCGACACACGTAAGCAATTCAAAATTCAATACACACGAGTATATTACTTGGTTATACGTGATGTGTACTTAATGAGGAATCCTTAAAGATTAACCTTACGCGTATTAATATATGATGCTTATGAGTTTATGAGCTACTATACTAAAGGAAAAACATACACCACTGAAAGATTATATCGTTATTTTATCGCGATCGCCATTATTATACTCGGATCGCCGAAAGCTACGTTTTGCACTGTGCATACACTCGACGGAGACACGATGTTCAAATTAAGCGTAAAGAAGGAACTGATATTTTGTTCCCCTTTCCTTTTTTGCTTTTTATTTATTCTTTTCCATCTCTTGTGATTCGAATTGTTTCAATTCATGTCGCGTTGCAATGAACATCGTTACGCCGCCATCCCATATATAGATAGTGAAGCACATTAAAAAACATAGCGATAAGCTAAGTAATATGCAAATATTGGAAAACCTCCACTAATTCTATGCAAAGTATAGCTTGTAGAATACCATTCATTAAAACTAGAACTTATCGTATTATACATATAAATTCATGCTTTTTTGTTTCATTATCACATGTAAATGTGACTGTGGGCTCTGCTCCACTCGTTAACAAATTTGCTTTCACTGGTCGATTTTGACAAAAACAAATTTGTCTCTCAGAATGATTTCGCAATATTATAGTTACAGAATCGAGGCTATTCTCGGTAGTAGTCATAATTTATGTACAATTCAATGAATTTGATGTAACCGTCTCTTTTTCGTTCTTCCTTCGAGTTTTCACGTTATGGATTAATTCGGTCATTACATTATAATCGAGCTTAACGCGCTATGCCCTGCCATGTCACATTGAGTGATGGAAACAAGTCAAAATGATTTTTTTTTTTTGTGCTTTACCCCCTTTTTAACTTTCGTGTATGTGTATCTTTTTTGTACATGTGTATACGTATAAAATCATTTCAGGCAGAATTTTCGAACGGCTAACGCAATGTCTATTTAACGTGTATTCACGCAACTTTGCCAAAGAAATACCAATTACCGCTTTGATGTCTATTACAACGACCATGCAGACTGGTTAAAATTTATTTCAAAATGGATCAAAAATTGAAATAACTTCTACCATATCTTCCGCGTACCAGCAGTTCAAACAAATTGGCAAATTTGCAGATACACGCGTGAACGCCCTTCGTTCGAACAAATAGTCGCAATACACGATCCTATTCTGCGTCGTGCACCTTCCCCTTTTTATCTTTCTTCTACTTAGGGCTACAAAAAAAAAAAAAGAAATCATTTTTACTTGTTGAATCTTGGTGGTCTCCTCAATCGCGGTATCAGTTCGGTCCTGACCGCTCTAGCGTAGTTAGGAGCAGCGTACTGATCGGTCACAGCAATCGGACTCTGCAGGCTTTGTATGAACATAGGCGAGTCTTGTAGTTGCCCCACGCCCGCTGCTTGATATTGATACTGGCTGTTCGCTATATCCGCCGTCGGATAATGATTGGGCTGCACGAACTGAGGTGGATTGTCGTATTGCGGATACGGTATGGAACTTTCTGCGGAGAACTGAGGAATTACTGGGTTCACATTCACTGGGGTAGTCGCGAAACTGCCAGGATCGTACGTCTGATATTGATTCAGCTGACCAAGTTGCGTTGTACTGAAGGGTGGTGATTGAGGGAACTGGGAAGTGTCGGGGAACAACACGCTCGCAACGGTCGGTTGAGGGAAACTGTCGGGTCTAGGATAAGGCGACATATTCGCCGTAACATTACTTAAACTTTGAACATTCGGAATACCAGCTATCTGCGACGTGCCATAACTATGAAACGTTTGCCGACTATGGTCCAAATCTTTGATACCGGTTTGCAGAGGACTCCCCATGTTTAATTTAGATTTGGAATTCAGACCGCCTATCTCATTGTGCTTGATTCTTGCTTCCGTCACGAACGGGTGACGAACGTTCACGATACTTTGCGGGGCGCGTAACGGAGGAAAATTGATCGGCGCCATTTTTGACGTCGGATTTTGTTGCTCCAAAGCTTTTCTAGCAACGGCAAAGGCGGTGTTGTCGTTCCGAGACGCTGGCCGGGAATGTGCACCGGAAGAGGTCACATGGGTGTCCCTGTGCAATGCTTGAACGGATGACTGATTTACAAACCTCGATGGTAAATTCATAGCCGTGCTACTTCTCGTTTTGTAATCTTGATTGCTCACGGTGGATTCTTTGTAACCAGGCTGAATCTGATAATTCTTCATTTTCGAATCGATTTCACTGGAAAACTTTTTAGCGGTATAATCTTTGGACTTGGACGTATTCTCATGAGAAACATTACCACCAACACAAGATGCAGTAACACCTCGTACACTAGTAAATTTAGAGTTAGATGGATTTGTGGTTACGATCGATGCATTCTTTGATAGCTGTTGTTCGCTTGATTTTAAATTCTCGTTGTTTCCGATATTCTTTTTCATCGATGGATTCATCCTGCTCGCAGAGACCGTGACGCCCGACGTTGTGGCCATTGTATTCAAAGTGTCATCTTTGTTTCCTGTAGCGGTACTTACTGCTCTGACCGACAGCTTGGATAGCCTGCTTTTGTTCCCCGCATGATCAAGTTTTTGACCACTTTTACCCTTGTCCGACACTTGATTATTCGCTGAAAAAATTTTAGGATCTGAGTTGTTATTCTGATTTACGGACAGCAAATTGTTGTGGGATTTGCAATTGATAGTGACAGCTGGCAGGAGCAAAGCGCTGGCTCACTTTTTAGTCATGATTTTGAGATACTCCAGAGCGTTTTGAGCAGCACTAGCTTGAGCATCCTTACTAGTAACACCGCAACCATAGCAAACTGCCACTGGCAGAGTAGACAGTTGCACAAGGCACTGGCATTTACCTGTAACAAAATATTTTCTTAATTCAAACCTATGTTCAAATACAATTATCCTTTATTTTTATAAGCAATAACCCTATGGAAAATTAACTGTCATTTATGCATAGACCAACTATTTAGATGTACTGAATGACCTATGATAACTGTTACATAGGTCATACACTTTATTTCAAAACAACTCCTGGAAGTAAATATGTTGCTATCTCTTATATAAGTATGTATCTTGTATTGATCTTTTTTCATTTGGTTGCAAGACTACTAAGATACTGGAATCATGTGTGGAACCAAAGCTGCCAAACTTCTTTTACGTAAAAAGATGAAAATTGTTATTGAACAACTTAATTTTGAGGAGAAACATAGACAATCAAAGAAAGTGTTTGAAAAAGTAAGTATGCAGAAAAATAATGAATGCATTATAATAAAGGAAGAAGAGGTTATGTTATACTTCTATTCCACACATGAAATCAAATTTCATCAAACAATATGTTTATCTATATACAGCTTTGTGCTTTGCCACAATTTCAAGAAAGCAGAAGGATCTCATTATATTTAAGTACGAAAGATGAAATTGATACAATAGTAATATTAAAGCATGCCTTTAAAACAAAAAAGGAGGTATTTGTTCCTAGATATAATGGAAAACAAATGGAAATGGTTAAATTACTTTCAATGGAAGATTACGAACAACTACCATTAACTAAATGGAATATCAAGCAACCAAAGGCTGATGAACCAAGAGAAAATGCTTTGGAAACTGGTAAAATTTATTTACACAAACTTTACCCTAAATAATAATACTATTCTCTAAGTTTTTGCATTTAAACTTCTCTTTAAAATTGACAGAACATCAAAATTATATTGAGAATTAATAAATTTATTTATCATAGGTGGATTGGATTTAATACTTCTACCAGGTGTTGCATTTAGTGTGAATGGTAAGTTAACATTAATTTTGATTAATTACCAATGTATAAATAAATATTTATGATCTTATAATAATTAATATATATATATTATTAATCAGGAAAACGTCTAGGACACGGGATGGGTTATTATGACAAATTTTTGAAATCTTGTTTCATGAAACAACAACAAAAACCACACTTAATTGCAGTGGCATTTAATGAACAAATACAAACAGATATACCCACATCAGAAAATGATGTAATTGTGGATCTTGTACTTACAGAAAAATAAATATATTTCCTTTAAAAATAATGTTTAAAAAAGATGATAACTTACCACTGAGAGACTTTTCTTCGATATCAACGTAAGTCACTTCGAATTGCTGCTCCGAAGCAATTTCTTGCAAAAATTGCACCAAATTTATATCGCCAACGTTCAAGCACGTATTCTGTAACAAAAAGATATAATTAAGCAAAAGTTAATGAAGCTATTTTATCATTGAAATGCTTTAAATTAATCGAAAAAAAGAGTATGTTTTTAATTAATTACGAACCTGTAGTTCAAATAGCTTAATACCAGTTGATGACTTCAGACTTTTATGAAATTGTGAAACTTTAAGACTATGAATAGTTGTTAGCGTTGAAATTTTGCTACCTTTCAGATCAGCATAACGGGCACTCACATTTGCATTTCTTTGTAAAACCTATAACGGACAATTAATATATGTGAAAATTTAATTATATGCTAATCATTGGGGACAGATCACCAATGACTGCACTAACATTAAAAGTAAATTGAAGTGGAAATGATCCAAGCGTGTTTATTGTATAAAATATATGTTGCTGTGTAAATGATTTTTAGTAAAAGTACATATAACACATACATATTACAGAAGTAATTTCAGAAATTATCCGTTATAGATTAATGGTGATCAGAAAGGTAGCTTATACCTCAAAATACTGATTGCAGTGCCAAATCACTTCCACTTCACTAAGCATACACACACATTCACAAAAGCTGTACACATACAAATACACAAAAGCAAGTTATGTAAAAAAAATGAGCGTTAATACGATATATCATTTATCATTTTGAAATAAAGTAAAGTGAAAACATAAAAACACATAAATTAATTAAAGAATGATGTTCATATAAAAACAAGCATTCATATTTAATTTTAAATTATTTAAAATATTACGTAGATTAAATATAATGCGGGTAGAAAAGACATTCTTACCTCATCCTCGTCTACATTAGCATTTTCAGTATTCATATCATCTAGAGCTTGCCACATTTTCTGAGCCGCATGCCTCTTGGCAACTTTCTTACTTTTCCCTTGACCAACCTCACGATACTTTAAAATAGAGCAAACAATAGTGAATTGTCTTTCGTGTGGTAGACCCTCCTCATTTTCCATTGTATATTTTGGTGGAGGCCAATGACGCGACATACATATTTCTTGCAATGCGCCAATTGGATTTGTGATTATTTTTTCTTCTCCATATCCTGTTAACTCTTGTAAATTTTCAGATCTGCAACAAATAAATGAAGTACACTTAATTTTTATAATTATAAACAATTTCAATTCATTGCTTTTAGTATTTACAATATTTTATACTAAAAAGAGAATATGTATAGTTCTCTTACTCTGATATATTATTTGGAAGCGGAGAATCTGAACTATCACCATTCAATCTGCACAGCTTATCCAATACTGCACGTGCAGCAGCATGTTTTGCCTCTTTCTTTGACTTTCCAGTTCCCACTGCTGTAACAATTGGATCTGCTTCAATCACCAAATACTTATCACCTACCACTTGAGTTCGATAGTAATAAATATAACTAATCTCTCAAAGTTACAAAAATTTCAATAATGGAACAAATAATTCTTATCAAAAATACAAATTTAATTTTGAATTATGTATATATATATATTATTATTATTAAGGCTTTGATAATTTGAAAACATAAATAGTGCTTCACCAAAATTAGATACAAACCAACAATATCTGCAACAGTAACTCGATAACGAAAAATAGGCTCATGGATAGCACCTTCTACTTGTATTAACTCATACTTTGGTGTTGTACCCCTACGAGAAAGTAATTCCTGAAGAATAGAAACTGGTGTTTTGTTGGACAATGATTTCATCTCCAATTGAGCAGCCTCACTTATCGGAAGTTTTTCCACCATCAAACTGTGTAATGACGATCGAAATCTGTTGCGCCGGTTAACATTATTCGAATGGTTAGGAACCCCACTTACACTGGCCATCATATTAGGCCCAACCTGTTGTGGTTGATGCATTTCCTCCATTTTTGTATCCTACAGATAAAAATAATTTTTCTTTGTAAAAGATGCAATCATATTTTAATATTCACTTATATACTACAACTAAATAAATCAATAATTACTTTTCTTTGAATGTCATTTAATTATGAATATCCCATTAATTCAATTTTAAACTATACATTTAACAATAGTAATTCAACAAATTAAAATAGGTTTAATCCAAAATAAAGATGACAAATATTTAAAACATACAAAAGTATATTCACAATATTGTGTTCATAACATATGTAATGTACACTTTAACAAACTTTATCATAATTGTGATGCAGAACAATGTAACAAAACAAAATTATGAATAATACATAAAATGTTCAATAATTTCAGAAATTATGCTACCCCAAGTATATATTTCATCAATACGTTGCTTATAAAGTTCTCGTAATACAGAAAACAATAAATACTAAAATGTCAAAAAAATGTGTAAAATCATTAAAATCCGATAACAATGACAAAGCTGTAACGTTATTCTAGTCGAGCAGTTATTGACGAATTTAAGGTCTATGTAAAACGGTAGGAAACCCGGCTGGCGGCCATGATTGTTATAAAATTCATTGATTAATTCTAGTATGTAGAGCATAGAAAATACATGAAAAAAATATAAAAATTAAGTCTTCTCATTATTAAAATGAGTATAAAGGCATTGACGCGTGTCATCGTTGGCAAGATTTTATTTAAAATTATGATAGAAAAGGGCACAGACCAACCGGTTCGCAGTATCGTCCGCTATACGAAATCGAGAAAGTCACTACCTTTACTTACAATTTTCAAATGTTCTATGTGACTAAGCTGGCTCCTTAACAGGCCAATTCCTATGCGAAAAGCGAATCCCGCTTTTTGTGACCGATCCAAGTCTCACAAAAAGCTTGATCCGTTTGACGACAGAAAAATGGTTCGCTGACTACCGGAGAATCTTCCTCGTTTCTGTCTCTGCCGCAGTATGCGATGTGAATAGTTTTTCTAGATGCAGAAACACGCGCATATTTCTGCGCAGGTGCATCACTGGGAATCACTGGCGATTTTATGGAAACAAAATTCACCCTGGTTATTAATTCTAACGAGGAGAAAGTTACTAGCAATGATTACCCCTCCTCTCCTTCGCAATGTACAGCCCTGTCATAGAATAGTGCCGTAGAATAGTTTTGTAGAGTTGAAACTTACAAGGGAATTTACTATAGTCTTGGAGAGTAAAATCGTCATCATACGAAAGTTTACTAATTTCCATTTTTGAAAATCATTTGAATATTCAAACTTTTTAAAATCCTCCAAATTTGAATTGAATATCTATTATTAAATTTAGAAGGAAATGCGTATTAAATTTCTTTTTCATTACGAAAACTTTAAATCGCACGTAATTGTAATTTGTAATATTGTTTTACATTAAAACTGGCGCCATTTCATAGAAATCATCGCCATTTACAATTTTAACAATTGTTTCCTGGCAACAGCGGATGTTGGGGTATTTCGCATTTGTATACCACCTAGAATCATTTCCGGTTGTTGCCCGCTGAAACTGCATAAAGATTGTACGCCATTATTGCACAGAGACGCTACGGTGTATTATTCCAAACGTTTTCATCGGTTTTTAGTACTTGCCACTACATTTATTCACGTTTAAAGTTGCACAATGAGTGATATCGAGGTAATTCACATATTTCTTTTTAAAAATATAATTTTTAGTATAACATCATAAGTATTACAATTGCAACAACATGCGGCTGGCCACAGCCATTATCGATCGATGAACGTTTAACTATATTTCAAGCGTGTGTTATAAATTCTAATGATGTTTTTCCATTATTTATTATAAAATCGATTTCAGTATTAATCAAAATTACATTTCTAATATTTAATCATTCCATTATATATTAGTTAGCGTAAATATATTATCCTTCGTGATCAATTGAAAGGTTAAGCTTAAAAGTAAACTAAAATTTCCTTGGAGATTTATGATAAGTTTATTTTCAGCGAAGCGGTAGTCGTAGCGCAAGTCCTAGAAGACCAAGAACAGCAGACGGAGGTTTGAGAGATTCGCGTTCACATTCAAGATCACGTAAATCACGCGAACGCAAGGAATCCCATAGGCCGGTAAAAGAATATTCAAGATCACGTAGCCGTTCTGTATCAAGAGGAAGAAAATCATATCGTAGCAACAAGTATGCCAGTGCAGGTCATCGTGGTAGTAGTCGCAGTCGTAGTCGTTCTCCTTACAGGGGTGGACGGTATTCTCGAAGCCGATCTCGCTCATACTCACGCTCCCGTTATTCCCGTGAACGCGACAGGAACATCTATCGCTCACACTCTCGCAGTCCTATGTCGTCTAGACGACGGCACGTTGGTAACAGGGACAATCCCTGTCCTTCCCGATGCCTAGGTGTATTCGGACTTTCCATTTTCACGACGGAACAACAAATTCATCATATCTTTTCCAAATATGGACCTGTCGAACGTGTGCAAGTTGTAATCGACGCAAAGGTACTTAATATATTGACATACTATAAACTTAAAAATAGAAAAGACTGATATTAAGCATTAATATAACCCCTTAAGTGTTATGTGGGGAATAGCAAATTTGGTCAGAGATTTAGAACATTTCATGCGTTAAGTTTATATGATATGTTAAAGGCCTCTGATCACATGTATATTTAATTTCATAGAATAATTATGCATTAACATATATATATATATATATATATATACACATTTATGCATTCAAAGGTTTACATAAAGCTTTATTTCAGACCGGACGTTCTAGAGGATTCTGCTTTGTATATTTTGAATCATCTGAAGATGCTAAAGTAGCAAAAGAACAATGCACAGGAATGGAAATTGATGGTCGAAGAATAAGGGTAGATTTCTCGATCACGCAGCGAGCTCATACGCCTACTCCTGGAATTTACATGGGAAAACCTACACACCTACACGACAGAGGATGGGACGGACCTAGACGTAGAGAGTAAATATAAATTGTCTCTGTATTTTATAGAATATGGTAACTCAACATATTAAGTTAAGTTTACATTTAAAATTGATTTGTTCTGGAAAAGAAGCAGTTACAGGGGAAGCTACCGACGTTCACCCAGCCCATACTACAGTCGCAGACGTTCACGCTATGACAGGTCTAGATCACGCTCCTATACACCACCACGTAAGTTCACTGTTTATCCTTTTACACCATAATTTAATATAAGCAGTCTACATAGATATGTGTCTTTTTTCAACATTTTTATTACATGATACAATTAATTGAATTTCCACGTTTAGGAAAATACAGAATCAAGAACTCATTGATTTGATATTGTATAATTCGCCAAATCTTACTGTACCAATATTAAAGTGCATTAATATTGTTAACTCGTACATAAAAGTTCCGGTTTTAAATTATTTTATATAATAATACACCTCTAATGATGAAACTTTTCAAATACACGTTAAAGTACGTAATGACGGTAAAATATTTTTATCAATACGAACCTATAAATCTAATGAAAATTGGTTTTTAAATAATTTTAACGTAAAAAGTAACGTACCTATTTTTAAATGTTCAATTGTATTAAATTACTTGAGAAGGCTGAAGTTTTTACGTTCCGAATGGAAGTGAAATGTGTAAGGCTAATATAATAGTAGACCGCTTATATTTAGTTCAAACAAAATGCCTAAGTACAAATAAGTAGTTAAGTTAGCAAGAATGGAAGACAGGAGCATCAAGAAATGCATCCAATAAATCGTACGGTAGTAACTAAGTGTAACCCATACCCTGGGTCAAACAATCATAGTTTTTGTTGCTTAATGAATTTCAGGTCGATATTAAGTGACACGAGTGTGATGCGAGAGGCCAGGTGTTTGGGAGACCATTTGTGTGACTTGACCCTTTGACCTCAAATTTCTTCTAACAATACTGTACCGGGTCAAAAAATGCAAACGCTACATTCTGACTACTATTCTTACCTTACATAATTCTGCATCATATGCAATTAATATACAGCATTTAAATAACGATATTGTACAATATCAATGAATGAGATAACATAATATGCAAAGGAGTGTAGCATATTCTTTGCATGAAACAGTAAGGTTAGAATGGACGTTAAAAAAAAAACCTTATTTTCATAACGTTTCTATTGCTTCCTAAACAGCTTTATGAAGATAAGGTTTACGTTATTGTAACAGTAATAACTATAATGTGAAGGTTGGAATATAATTGAGTTTCTATTTTCCTTTGACGATTTAATTATTTGCTTAAAAGTTGTATTCCAGCCAATTTGGACATTAATTATCACTGACAAAAAAAGTGGTATGAATCTGGAAAATGTGGTATTCCTTAATGTTTATATGTGAAAAGAAAGAAAGGAAAACGAGAAACACATTACACACAGAAAAAGAACGATATAAAACAAAAAAAAAAATAAAATTAAAAATAGAAGTAAGTTCTCTAACCTGTTTGTTTGTTTATAAGGTTTTGAATCAAGAGGTATTGGATGATAGAGGGAAGTTTGAAGTTTCACTCTGAAAAAATGAAAGTTTTGAAAAGTCGAAGACAAGATATCTGAAGATGTTTGTCTTGCTCGAATTTTGAAGATCTGAAGGGTTTTTCGCGCTTGTGACAAAGAATATGATCCGAATCGCATTCATTTCCGGCTGAGAAGTCTCAAGCCTAGAAGAACTGCAAGCACTCTGTAAAAAGCAAGCCTCAAGACAGTAAGAAATCGTTGATCGTCAGGCCCCCAGTGGTTGGGGGTTGAAACTGGCCGAACGTTTAAGAAAAAGTTCAAGAACCATCGAAATCTTTTATAAGTAGGGAAGAGCGTAAGGTGCTCCAAGGTTTATACCGATCATATTCTTTATCAGTTGGTTTGGTTACATGGTATATCCGTAATTAGGTGTTTATAAAATAAATAAACGTATATACCTTCGTCCCCATTCCCTCCACCATCCCAAAACCTCCTATATCCTTAAGGGTGATGTCCTATTGTTTTCATTTTATATAGGAATAAGCAGCGGCTATTCATATTGAAACAGCTAATAAACGATGTTTTTAATATAAATGATTAATTAGAATTTGTCTTTACATAGCTTTAAAAAAAAATTGTCTTTGATTACAGATTTTTTTTTTTATTTATAAGCGATTTAATGTTCTGAATACTTATAAAATCAAAGAATTTTTCAAGGAAAGATTCTGGTTTATTTAATGCGTAATATAATAGTAATTTGTATCATTTTCAACATCCTGTTTTGTTTATATAGTTTTTTCACTGAACAGAATATAATTGAAATATATTTATTTAATAACTATTTTGTACAAATTCAATTATATTTGTAGTCCGTGATTTTATTCAACTTCTGTTTGTTCTCGATTAATATAAATTTAATTCTACAATTAAAAAATAAATATCCATTTATTTAACTAGTATGCGCCAATATTACGATACCATCCTAATATAAATAAAATTTTATTTACAAATTTTCTTTCTGAATGTAAGATAAACAAACAGCCGCGTTCATATGGTCTAGTACACTTAACTCATGAAAATAAACCCGTTTGCAAAACATGTCACAGTGAAGCACCATCATAGAAACGCGGAGTTATAATTGTTGTCTAAAACCGTATGTACGATTGTCATAAGGAAACATGGAACACTTTGATGTTGATCTGTTATTAAAATTTTGTTTAATCAGTATAATAACAGTAAATTGTAACGGCGCACCGCCACAAGACTCGTACCAAAGTCAAATACCTACATACGGATTGTATAATGCCAGTGATAATGTGGTTATCTTAAACGTCACTAATTTTAAGTCGTCTATCTACGGAGACACCAAAGGATGGTTAGTCGAATTTTATAATAGTTGGTGCGGCTTTTGCTTCCGATTTGCACCATTATGGAAAGCTTTCGCTAATGATGTTTACGGTAAATACTGTCATTGTTTTAAAGTATGAATTTGTAAAAAGTACAATGTTAATTATTAACGGCAATATATGTGAGATCATATTTAGTAAACACTCCAAACAGCTGTTTATGTTTTAATTTTAAATAGGCAGTAGATATAAAGCATCGTATAAATATTGTTAATTATATTATTTACTATAATTCAACAGTATACTTATATTTAATTCATTACCTTAAGATTTATGCACAAACATTTTATACAACATTAAGAACAATCCTTTAAAGTAAATATCTTTTTGAGTATATATTATACATATATAACAGTAAACATACTTTACAAATAATTTATTTCAGTTATTCTTTTTAGCATGGAGAGATATTGTAGCCATCGCTGCCATAGATTGTGCAGATGATGACAATAACCCAATTTGTCGTGAATATGAAATTATGCATTATCCAATGCTTAAATATTTTTCTGTAAATGCTCATCCATCATCATTAGGATTGTTGATGGAAAAATATGATAATGTGAATGAGCTTAGATATAATTTAATTGATTTGTTGGAAAAAGAACAGCAAGAAGGACGTGGTACTTCATGGCCTAATATTACACCATACAGGTATGTAGATGTTCATATTTTTATAATGTATATTTATCTCTCTACAAATAAAATTAATTACTCTTTTCACTACAATATTATAGAAATTATGAAACCACAAATATTTGGAAAGCTGTACAAAATAGTGTAAAATATTTCTTTTTACTATTCGAAAAGACAGATTCGCATTTGGGTGCAGAAGTTATATTAGATACATATAAGATTCCTTCACTGCAAATAAGAAGAGTAACATCTGATAATGAATTATTGTGCGAGTCAAATAAAATTACCAATTTTCCAAGGTTGATAGTTTTTAATCGTAATGACACACAAAAATCTATTAAAATCAGAATACCCACAAGGGAAGGCACTTATAACACTATTAAAGAATACATGATTTCGAAAGGGGAACATATAGAAGAGCATGTTCTTACGAAAAATCAGTCTGCAGAAATTGGAAATCATAAATTAAGTATTAGTGCTCCAAAGCAGTCCCATGAAACGGAAAAACCAGAAAATACAGAGATAACTGGTGATCACTTGTATCAGTTAGATTTAGAGAATACTTTGAGATATTCAATTAGTCATGAAATTCCATTACATAAAGTAATAAAAGACGAAAAGATGGATGCATTACAAAAGTATCTAAGTGTGTTAGCTGAATGCTTTCCTCTAAGACACAGCAATATCTTCTTAGAAATTATTCGCGATATAGTTAAAAGAAGAAGTAATATATCTGGAGAGGAATTTAGTCAAATAGTAAAATCTACAGAAGAAGAAATGTCACCGGTATATTCAGGGCCTTCGCAGTGGGTTGGATGCAAAGGAAGCAAGGAAGGATATCGTGGATACACTTGCGGTCTTTGGACAATGTTTCATATGCTTACAGTCAATTTTGCTATTAAACACAAAGATACCGAACACGAACCAAGAAAAATACTAGAAGCAATGCATGGATACATCAAACAGTTCTTTGGATGCGCGGATTGCTCTGAACATTTTATAGAAATGGCTGCAAAAAAGAAAATGTTCGATGTATCTAATACGAACGATAGCATACTATGGTTATGGTCAGCTCATAATGAAGTAAATGCAAGATTGTCTGGCGACGGTACAGAAGACCCTAAACACAAAAAGATTCAATATCCGGCAGCAAAGCATTGTCCAAATTGCAGATACGAAAATGGTACTTGGAACGAAGAAAACATTTTACATTATCTTAAAACAAAGTATTCCTATAAAGGAATCAATTATTATGGCTCGACTAACAAACATAAGGATAATGGTGATAAAATGAATATAAGACAGGAAAGACTTGTATTGAATAAATACTCAAATAGTAAAAAGTTTGGATGGGATTTTACAATTTTTGACATAAGTATTTGTGTTGTATTATATGCTACATCTACTCTCATACTTATATTAGGCTGTGTAAAGTTTGCTGTGAAAAGGACCTACAGAAAAAGAGCGTACGTTAACTTACTTGGAAAAGTATGACTTTTATTTTTATTCATCAAAATTTGTAAAGTTAAAAAGAAATACATTCTAAAGAAATTGGAAAGAAAATGATCAAAGCATAGCTATTTATATATTATATGTACATATTTTATTCTTTTTTGTCACAAGAATGTTGTGGTTGTAGCTTAAAGTAAGTTTTAATTGCATTTTAAAAGGTGATGACTTATTACATGTAATTCGTAATGGGGATGTATTTATTCTTGTTTGATACAAGTATTGTATATTTGAAATTATTATACCGAAGTTAAAAAACGTGATAACTAAGTAAATTTAACATATACAATTTTTGTAATGGATTATCTTTTTTGTCGAAAATTTCTTATAATATTACTTAATTGCAGCTATAAAAGTTCAAAGTTTGATACGGATATTATCATATATTTAAAACGATTATGTTTCAGTAGAAATTAGGTCATAAGACACATTGAAGTTCATTGTATAACATTAAATGATACATGTACTTTTAAACTAGTCCTAAGAATGTACAATCATGTATTCTATCATCATTTATAATATTTCCAATAGAGAATAAAAGTAAGAATAGAAACCCTTGCACAACATGTTTTTTTAATTTTTATGTGTAAATATTGAAATAAAGGTTAACATTTGAATAAAATTCTAAACTGCAGCTTATTTTATTTGATAAATTGTACATAATTACTTGTGTATTTCACTTTTCTATATGTTTTTATACAAAGCTAGATAAACAGATTTTATTTATTTTTAGAATTAGCATATTGCCACGAATTTGATGTATCCCATACTACACCATTATGTGGTAATTGAGATGTTACATAAGGAATTATCCATGTTAAATACCACCGATCGCCTAACACCTCTTTTACATTTTGTTTCCACCCTAAATTATATATATAAATTCTTTTATTACTTTCATTAGCTATACTACCATTAAGTATTAAACGAAAGTGGTAAATACACAGGACACCTGTGTATAACATTCCTACTACAGATACAATGTACAAAAGTAAATAAAATTGATCTATGGATCCATCAAATCCAAAAACGAATATTGCTAATGGAAAAATAATTTTTATAATTGACATAGGAAACTCAAAATGAATTCGATTCCAAATAAAAATATTATTATAACAAAAACTGTATGTTGTTGCTATAAATAAATATAGCAGAAACATGATGAAGTATCGATGGTTATAGTGACCAATACAACAACCAGTGAAAATGCAATGGTGGTCCCTTTTTAAAATACAAATATCACATATCGGGCAGTGCCATGAACGTGGGGGTGCAAGAGTTTCGCAAGTAGCACACAGCCTCCAACCATCTTTAGTATTCGCAGCACTTATTGGCATGATATCTCTTCTGGTACTGGTGTCACAGAAAACTGTGTATGTGAAATTTCCAACTATGTTCAGCATGATAAAGTTTCCAAAGAGAAAATGTCCAATGTATAATAATGTTTCACTTTCATGCACTGTAGGCAAAACCACCCATAATTCAAACCAATATAACAGAGGCACAATTGCTAATATAAAAGTCATCGAAAGGAAGTCACTTAATGTGCGAGGCCAGATTTTTTTTCGCATTATCATTTTTACGAACTTCTTCCTTTCTTTTCGTGGAACACGTGATTCTACTTGGTGAACACGATTACTTCTTAACGATGTGTATTCATTTCACAATAATACTGATTTATTTTAACCTAAAAGTTAGTACTACAAATCATTCTTTCTTTAATTTTTATTTAACTGTTCGAACGTCGACTCGTACATCAGTTAATAATTTCATGTATCACATTCATACTTACCAAAGGTTCTATTAAATCCATTATTTTACATGTAGATAAATTAGCATATTGTAAATATGGTACGCGCCATTCGATTTCTTTTTAAACTTCATTCAATAGGAGCCATTCGGAAAAACCACCGCTCACTAAGCCGCTCATTGAGCGGATTTTAGTACTAGTGGCGCCATCGGTGGGAAAACGCCCATCTAGCCATCTAGCGGTGAAAAAGTAGAACTATTTCTCGACAAACTTGAGCACTTTACCGCGAGATGACGCCACCGCTACGTAGTTTTTTTTATTGTTTAATATTCATAAAAACAACTTTAATACAATAAATAATGATAGTTTAACAATACTAATAGCATCGTAGAATTTAAAATCATTATTGAATTTTTCACCAGACTTTTTCAGTTGTGGCGTTATCTATCGGTGAGAAACTGGAACTATTTCTCGACAAACTTGGGCGGTTTGCCACAGATGGCGTCACTAGAACCAAGAAAAAATAATTAAAATTAAATATTTTTAAAAGGTATTTATTAGCGTAATCATGCATACGCTAATAAATTTTATTATTTTTTACACTCATTATTTAATTTTTTATCAAGGTAATCATAAGGAAAATGAGATATTAAGTTATTTTTTTTTAAAACTTCGTAGGATTATCATTTCATTTACAAATATACATGAATTTTTTATACATAAATAAATGAATGTACAAAATAAAGACGAGTTATTCTGAATAATGATTAAGCAAACTAGTTTTCTAAACAATATTTATATTACTTATTTATTAGGATATATTTACATTGTCTTAATTAACAATTACCACAAATATTATCACGTAATTTAATAATCTGTTAATACCATGAGTACCATTTTATGTCATGCCGTTGTGTATGGAACAATAAATAATCTCTTTTAACGTTTTAGTCAACATGCTCGTGTTGTGCATTACTTTCACGCCATGTGTTCTGGACTAATTCAACAAACTGCTGCCACCATCGGCTTTGCAATGTAAAATATAATGCACACGTTGCGATGAAGACCCACGAAAGAACTAGACAGTAATCTGTTTCATTCGATGGTGTACTAGAAACAGGACCAGCAAAATCCAAAGATGTAACGTATAGCGATCCATTTGATTGTAGATTAGTTATGTGCGTTATAAACCTCCAAAAATATTCGAGCTTGTAGACAGTTCCATTAAACTTTGCCACAGGTTTCCCATTGTGAACAAGCATCAGCGTAGGAACACCGACAATTCCATACTGAGCATTGAAGCTATAAGAACACAAAATGCATCAATTTTATATAATCACGTTCTCTACGTTATTTTTAAATATAGTTCAATATTTCGTAATCTTACTGTTGATATTTTATAGCATCGATTGCCACTGCTTTGATATGTGGAAACGAGCGTGGTATCGCATTGAAATGCGGTGCTGCTTGACTACTAAATATACACCATCTCGCGTAGAATAATACTATTACGCATGTTCCTGGTAATAGTCTACCTTCCTTGTTGTTTATGCTTCTATTCGTTGAACCAGGTTCTAACATTAACAATTTCATTAACCTGGTAGCATTGACGATCTACAATAATGTCAGCAATTATACATGTATAGATAACAAAGAAAATATTCGCCAATGTTGAAATGTTACCTCTACTGGTCCATAGACCTTATCCGTCAAACAATTGACTTTAGTCACATTGGAGGAAGAATTGTTCACTGTCACGTTCGACTCGATGGTTTTATTCTCTTCTATCTGTATCCCTTCTCCTGGGTCAGGATCATTCTCTTGATCCGAATTTTTTGAAGGAATCGATTGTATCACCTCGCATTCGTCCATTCGTCCCAACACATTTATTATTTGAACTAAACAAACAAGAAGAAAAATTACAGGCTGCTCCTTACAATTGAAACGCGATAAAAAAAGAAAGAAAACATTCACGACTTACCTAAAATTATGACAAATAAACACAGGTTTCTTCTAGAGGCGTACATCTTACGTACATAACCTAGAAATTGCACACGCGTCTTCATCAAGAATTCAAAAGCAGATGCATTAAATTAGCGAATGATTTAAACGTGGATTCGAGATGTTCAACGAACGATCATAGTTACGACATGATCTACAACGAGGCACTCGTGACAAACAAATTTTTGCATTATTTTTATTTTCAACTCCGATCATAGGACAAAGAAATAATCGACTATCCGACCCTCGAATTTCGAGGTCGTGTCGATCAACTATATCGCGAGTCGATTTATTATTTACACGATTTAATTTCCTTGCTTTTCGATTCGCGTTGATTCCGCTCGTTCGTCTGAAAATTAAATTAAATTAGTAAATAAGTTTAATAAATTGCTAAGATTACAAAAAAAAAAAATGAGTAACAGGAAATACTTATGTATTTATAAATATATATATATGTATTTGGCGGAAAAATATGATACGCGGTTTTATTCGAGTTTTATTTATTATAACAACTTATAGGAAGTTTGAAAACTAGTATGCCCTTACCTAAATATATTTCTGATACGTACATATAATATATGATAAATAATTAGACTGGGGATCTTTATGCGAAATAAAATTTTCGCGAACGTGCCTACAAAAATTGAACCTAAATAGGAATTTATTTTATTCGGCAAATATTGTAACATGAACTTTACTTTCAATCTTTTTTATATTCTTGCATATTGTTTGCATTTTGTAGTTTCTTACACATTCGAATTTACTATAAATGCATAAAGATCCGAAGTCTAATGATAATATATTCTTGTAGCAATAAACGTTTCTCCGAGCCCGTTTCTCGAGGGCATGCATACGCTTTTCGCATTCAAAGGGTTAATAGACTGTGTATTAGTTATGTTGATAAAGTTGTAAATAATATAGATGTGAACATAATATTATAATGGCGTATTTATTATTAATAAATTATTATCAATATTAATATTAATATTAATAAAAAACGTATTATTAAAAATTGTACTCCACATCCTATACTTTATAATTCTTATATATTATTTATATAGCAGTGAGTATTATAATTCTTATATATTATTTATGTAGCAGTGAGTAAAAAGAGAAATAAGAAATAAAAATGCAGTTGGAAAAAAAAATGTCCAACCAAAGTCTCGAACCCACGAACTTTAGAACATGAACCTGTACCGTAACGCTCACAGCTAAAACAGCTTCTGTTGAGAACTTGAATGTTCCAATATATCTAGTAACCTGTTTAAAGCCATTTTTTATAAAAACGGCTGGCCAGATACCCCTAATATTTTGCACTTTTTTTATGCCCATCAGCTCCCATAATTTAAGCCCGGTCTCGTTGAAAAAGTGCTCCGGATCGCGACCTTCCCTTGTAAGGATCAAACTCGCTGCTTTCGAGTGCGTTCTACGCGCCGCCGGAAGAAGAAGGAAAGGAGGACCAAAGGAAGGAGTAGGAGTCATCGCGCGTATCCAGCCACTTTCATTGTTATTCGATCTGCCTTGATCCGAAGGCGCGAGCCGAACGCTCTATTCGCATCTCACGGAGAAATAAGATTTTTCCACCTATCGGAGACGATTAATCACGCTTCGAAACTTCAGTGAGTACATAAAATTTAATTAGCATCTTTCGCTCTTGAACCGCGCTGTTAGTGCCGCCTTTTCGTTCGCGATAAACGTACACGCTTTCCTTAAGTTGCGTCGCGTCGAATGGGAACTCTTTGCGTTTAGTGAGAATAACTGTGTAGGATAGTTTATTAACCGTTGATATCGTAGACGATAATTGTTTGTTCGATATTAGTCTTAAAGGTGGAATTTACTTCTGACTGTTAAATGGCACATGGGATAGAGGAGTTGCCTGGAAGTCTAATCTCGAAGATCGCGAGATCGAATCTCGATCTTCTCATTCTTCGACTTTCGCAACAATTTTTCATTTGTCGCGTTTTTCTGCCTCGAATTTCATTCGGTTGCGTTTCTATCGTTAAGAAGAGGTGAATTATTCGAGAAAAAAAATGTGAATTCATGGGAAACGTCTGGAAAACGAAATATATCAACATCAAGACGGCCACACCACCTACACATCCGCCCGTATTAGCATACAAAAATACTTGAACTGACCTTATTCTCCGTACGGCCGAGATTCGTTCATTCACTCCGTGCAGACAATGAGATTTCGTATCTGGAGTCGTAAAAAGTTGCGTGTACATCTCGCGTGCGCTATTATACATACAAGTAGCAGCAGCGCGTTTCGATATCGGCCAATTAGGAAATTGGGAAACCCGGCGCGTTGCATCTCTCGCTGGGAAATCGTGCATTGTTTTCCACGCTTGTGACTTCGATAAATCATTTCGACGCACGAGAATACAAGTCGGTGGTTAACAATGGTCTAAAGTTTAGACTCTAAACAAAGGGTCGCGTTTAGAGAATTAAGCAGAATTCGTAGAGCAATCTCGAAGCTGAAAAGAAATTAATGTCGCGATGGCATCGATATCATCGAATTGTAAAAGTTGCAGTTTCCGTTGTCGATGAGAAATATCGGTGAGAATCGGTGAGAAATATCGCGATACGGAGCCGAGGAGAATTAAATAGCAATCGACGAACAGAATGGAGGTAGCTCGCGTTGAACAAGGCGTCCGAATTATACTTCCTGGTTTCACTCGATTGTCGCTGAAACAAACGGAAGGAAGACGCATTCATGCTCTGTTTCAGCGGCTCGTATTCACTGAGTTTCTACAGGATACGTCCGCGGAGATATTTTAATAGCGTTCGGCCACGTAGATGCGTCTTCTTTGCCATCGAAATGTCATCGCTGGCGTTGTTTACAATAGGTAGATTCACAGGGATGTCCCCTTGGGTTTGGTTAACGCGATAATAACGATATCAAAGTGCCGACAGTGACGAAGTAATGACCGGAATGCGGATTTTATGCATTCATTTATCACTTACGGCAATACGGGAGACGTGAAACATATATACGTAATGTATGGACGTATACGTAATACGACGCGTACATATTATATGTACATATTATATATATAATGTGTACACGTCGTATTACTCGTTGAATAAATAATTTCTCGTTGAAAAATTTAAATGTAGGATTTGAATGTGAATTCAGACCCTGCAAAACTTTTGAACCGGCCCTGCGTGCATTTATTATATTAGTTTGCATAAAATCCACAGTATAGTAATAATGCAAGTGGAAGTAAAGAGTACAAGCACCAAATTAGCGAGGTTTTTTGGATAAATTAAAAAAGAAAATCCTACAGTCCTGTTTGGGAAATTTTTGATCTTTAGATTACGGTTTATGTAGGTGATGTCGGCGTTGAAGCTACCAGCGGCCTTGTCGTTGGTGTTCCTGACGGTCAGTTTCGGCCGCGCAAATATTGGGAATTGGGAAGCCTGCGGCGGAAGATTGGAGCGTGCCCTGGATGCACTTCACAGAGACTCCGTTAGAAGAAACAGATTGGAGGAGGAAGAAGCTGGAACGTCCTATCAGCAAGAACTTCGTTCTGCACCACTTGAGATGTCAGTCTCCCGGATTGCTGTTAAAGTAATATTTATTGCGCGTATCGCATTAAAATCCTCGCAGGAGAGTCGGTATCGCCCAATTTTCCAGAGTTTCTTATAAAATGTCACGCTATATTTTGCTTGAGGGTAGTTGTGTTATGCTGCATTGTGATTTGTTGTCGTATGAACAACAATACCACTTTATTATTCCATTAAATCGTTCCTACCTATACCATCATTATATCATTCGTGTCTTCATTTTCAACAAAACGATCTTCCATATGAGCTCTATGGCCTTGTTCTGCACAAAGCAGCAATATATCCTTGCTTAAGATTATCGTATGCATAATTTGCTGCAAAAATTCGAATAACTAAATACTGCAATTAAAAAGCCTATAAATAGGCTCCCGGTAAATAAAATGTTAACCGTCGTTTCGATGTTCCAGCTGCCGCAGGGTGACGCAGAGACTGGGAATCCATGGGCAAGAGTAGAGAAGTGCGTCTACGAGCCCAGCAACAATTCCCTGAAGACACGAGTAATGTTCAACGACCTCTCGGTATCTGGCATGGTGTCGCTGATGCCGAGAGACCATCAGCCACCGATTCCAGCCGAGTCCTGCAAGATGACGTTGAGACTTCGTCGAGCAGGCATCGATTTCTTAACCAATCCTATCGCTCGCGGCAGGGGACAGATGCGAATTCGAACGGAGTCTAGTTTCCTGGAGCCCAGGTTCGCCTCTATTTACGCCTACGACTGCCACGCGAGGCGTTTGGACAAGCAGATCAAGAGGCAGGACAAGTGGCCGCCGTTTCATCCCCATCGCGACGAGGTAAGACAATTTAACGCGTTGTTTATATTAAATTTATTTCTCTGTGCAATTAGAAATGGTGCGATTCAACATTCGTGGTAGCATTTATTTTTACGACCTCCTTAGAATTTGCCACTCGTATCCAGATGAATTTTTGTGAGCGCCTCACCTACGGAAATAATTCATTTAATTTCTCAGTGGAAATCCTTGTTACGCTAACAAGGATTCTATGTGAAAGAATCACATAGTAGTGTGCAAAATGGGGAATTGATGATATCCCCATGAACTTAAAACTCGAGAACTCGAACCTTATCGGAGCTACTTAGCAGCCAACGCGTTAACGAACGTGGCTCGGTTTATTTAGTTACTTTCTTCAGTTTCTCGTGATTAATCTTGAAGTTAAAGTTTAATCTTGAAGTTAAAACGGTCGTTATCTCCCACAGTTCACCGTGCTGTCGCTACCACCGGCCAATGACTACGAGGCAGCGGAGCCACGTCAGTTAGTCGGCGTTTCCAAGGAAGTGGATGTCGTAATCCCGGACGAGACGCGTCAGTCTCGGTTCCTAAGTCGGCCAGTTTCAAAATTGGGCATTTGGCGAAAGAACGTATGGCTCACCAAGCCGGCATCCCGCGAAAGGAGGGATCTCCTGCGGTCGGGTGTCCTCGAGGGTCCTCCGAGCGTCCACCGCTTTCCAGGATCTGTCGAAACGGCTAGGAAAGTCGGTCGTCGCTCGAGGAGGGTCTCGAGATCAACAGCGACGATCACTCCTCAGGATTTCGCCACCGCGTTGACCAGGAAGAGGCTCGGAACGAACGAAACCAGCAACTGCACCGAACGCGAGGAAAGTTTGGAGAACGCCACGGATATTTTCTTAACGTGCGCGAACAACAGCGAACTGAAGACTAATTTCAAGAGGGAGTACAGCTATAGCGCGATCAGCGACGACGATCCACCCGAGACCAGGCAGCTGTACGTCGACGAGAGTTTGGACAACATCTTTCCGGTTGATCTAGAGAACGACAGCAGAAGTTGGCAGTCCAAGGAGCACATAGCCAGAGAGATGGAGGACGTGTTTCTGAGAGGTGCTAGCCAAGCATTGACCAGATACATCGAGAGACAGCTCCATCCAGCTATCAAAGAAACCCTCATGCTCTCCATGGGGTACACTATCAGCTATGGATAAGGCGCCACCTTGTCTTCGTTTGTCGTTAACGGTTCTTAAGGTGTTAGTCGCAGGCAGGAAAATGAAAACGAACACTTTCTTGTGTGTTTCTTTCTGAACAATTCTTTTATAGTTCTTTAAGACATACTTTGTGATATATTTACATTTCATTAATGAAAATTATTATTTAATACTTAAAAAAACACACACACAAGAAATTGTCCGTTTTCATTTTCCTGACTACGACTAACCCCTTAAGGTAGTTGTTTCGAGATGGTCACGCTCAATTGTATTAGGTGAACCGGAAAATAATGTCGTTTTTTGCAATTTTAAATACTTGTTTATCGTTCATCAGCTCATTGATTTTTATCGATCTGGCATTGGCAATTTGCACACTAGATGGCAAAAGGCGTTAAATAAATTCACGGAACAACTACTAGTAACTTTTTAGAGTAAGAAATAGTACGTACGTGTTTCCATACAACGAATACTGTATTTAGAAACTGTGTATATAAGGGTGTTTAGTACAGGGTGTTCATCGAACACGGGGTGTTTAGTGAACATTCGGAGATAATTCTACAGACGAGAATCGAATCGAAATTAAATTAAACAAGAACGACGAAGGTGTATTCGAGGCTTTTCTATTAGGTCGACGTAAAAATAAGTTTGTTTTTTGTATGGTTCGATAAGTTTCTTTGCAAAGGCATTTTTAGTGCGCGTCCTTAAAGTACCGTCCTTAAAGTACTGCGTTAACAGAAAACAATGTTCTACTTTGCAGAGCATTTTATAAATAAAAGCATACTTCAAAGAGGTCTCTCTTTTGTAAACTTACTACCGTTTGAAAATTCTTTTAAACGTCCCATTCGTTCCCAACAGAGTTTCCATAAATTGGAGTCAGCAATCGATACGAATTACGAAATGATCCGAAGTGCTCTCGGAAGTAAAACGCGCATGCCAAACAATCCCACTTGACAACGAAACGTTAGCGCGATCAGCGGTGACAGTCGCTGAAAGAGGGTGGCAGGTTATCGAATTCCGCCCTTTTATCGTTTTCAACGTCGCGGCTCCATCGGATGGAGCAAAGGGAGAATCGAGCTTTTCTGTTTCAAAAAGTAAGTAGCGCGCTTCTCGCCTCGAATTACGCGCTGCCGCGGGCCGTCGAATGAATTTTATTCATAAAAGCTTGATCTTTGTTTGCTTTTTCTCATTAAAAATGAGAAGTTACGTTGCCTTTATTGTTGATTACAAATTTCTTTCTAAAAGTTTATTCCGCGAGGGATCGAGTAGAGCGACGAACTTCCTTTTGACGGTTTTGACAGTTTCGACAGTGATAGTTTTCCTTTTATGTTAAGTTTTTATTAAATGCGAGTACTTCCTTAATTTTTCCCTTCAGCAAGGCGCGAAAGCGCTAGCTTTTCCAGGTGAATAGCCTACCAGGTGAAAGGCTGAGCTTGAATAAAGCACGAGGTGAATCAAAGGAGAATGTCCGACGCGCAGAGATGCTCCAAGCCACGCAGGATTGGCGGGAAAAGCCGTAAGAGGGGCGCGGCGACCACCAGACAGCGTGCAAACTTCTTCAGGTGATCGACCGAAACGTACAGGGCGTTTACAGAAACGTGAAACCGTTTTTCTCGCGAACAATTTTTTCGTGGGAATATGTCAAACTACAGCGTGCAGCTTAACACTTTCTACGCCTAACAAATTACGCATTAAAATTACTCTTCGTGTTTCTGTTTTGTTCTCGTGATACAGAACACGGTATTACTTCACCAAAGGCCATGAACACTTGGGCGAACCGCGAAATGTCAACGAGGAGCAATCGCCGTTCCTTTACCCTCCCTGCTCCCTCATGTTCTCTTATTTTCAATACTGGAAAGCGAGGAAACGCACGTCGGACTTGGAACAGAGGAAGGGAGTTGCCAGAACAGCACGGAAAAACGATATCTTGCGGACGCTTCGCGTATGTGTTACAGTTTATGCGTTACATGTTTTAAAGAAAGGAGCTTGAGCTTGAGCTTTGTTTAGTAACTTCAGTTATTCCACTGGAGCCATACATCGCGATATAATTATTTCCATCCTACTTAACACAACTTTGCTTTACTTAACTTTAGGCTTTAACCTTAATTTTGGGCTTCTACGGAAGCTAACACTAGTTAACGCTAACCTTAACGCTTAGTACATTACATTTGCATCGTTTTTGTATTTTGTTACACATCTGTACATAGCTGCAGCGCCTGAGGGTTAAAGAAAGGAACGCTGACGAATTATAGATAAAAATATTCCCTTGGTATCGGTCAAGGTGGACGTGGAGATCGAGAAGTTGGAGGCGAAGAAACACAAAGACCCAGACGAAGCGATAGCTATTACCGACGTGGATCCAGAATTCTTCCAAGGACTCTCTGGGAGGGTGGTAAAGGAAAGATTTTCTGTACACACGTACGTGAACGACAACCGCGAGATTCTGAAGACCAGGTTGCTAGCTGGCCAGGCATTGGACGACTGTATTCGTATAGAGCAGCAATTCGTGGAGGAGCAGAAGAGACTGGATAAGTGCAAGGTAGGATTGACTGGATAAATGCAAGATGATGATTGATTGATGGATACGATTCTGCCGACTGCTTTTTTTCTCGAACCTCTTTCTCTTTCACTCTCTGCACTTTTCTACGTTCGACTGGTTAAATCCAATGTTTGGGTCCCCATTTTCTTTCATTTATCCAGTTTTTACTGTACTCTCGAGGTGAAGGTAAGGTAGTTCTGTGAAAGAAGTCATCGAAACCAGTCACACGAGTGTCTCCTCTAAAAAAGTTAAATCATATAAATCGTATCTTAATTCTACACCCATCCTCAAATTTTACCTTAAAAATGGTTGCACACATATTCTCTACATTAAATGTTCGAAGGTTTGACAGCCAAGTGAAAGGGTTAATACTATTCCTACCACGACCGGTCAAATGACCGTTTTTAACATTTCGATTAGAATTTTCTATTAGAATTTCCTACAACGTAATTGAATCTCTCAAAGACTCGATTCCGGCATATAAAATAAATCTTATAAAGTCGTTACAAGAGGAAAGATCAGTTACGTTTCTTCCCGTAGCGTCGTTATCGTCTCTACGTGAGTGGTTTCGAGGAGTTCCTGTCGAAGGATCACGAGGAGAGCATGAAGATCCTGGTTCAGGCGGAGGAGGAGATGAGGCTGACCAAAGAGGTGAGCGACAAGAGGAACCAGCTTTCGAAGGAATACGGCCAGGTCAGGCTAGAAGTGTACTTCTGGGAGGAAAATTGGAGGACGGTGAAGATGTGCCAGAGGTTCCTGTACCAGGTGTCGCCAATCTCCTGGCGCGTGGAACACGACTGGATTCATCGGTCCGAATCGGGCGAGAACATCGTCTCCGACAGCGCGGACGATTTATTCGGTCGATACAGAATGGTGGACGAAGTCGCGTCGCTCGACACTTTGATAGGTGATTCTCGTCACCTTCTCGCCCTTCGTGCGACTCTACAACGTCGACTTGACCCGTAACTTATTTTTAGATCTCGCGTTGGTCGATCGCGCGATCGCGGAACAATGTATTATTTAACGGACAACGAATACGTATCCAAAAGCAACCGCGAGGCCATTTTCACCTGTTACAGATTTGTTCGAGCGGGATATATTAGACGCGGGGGCAACCGAAATGTACTTCGAGGATCCGTTCGACCTGATTCGAGTGTTCAGAACGATAGAAACCCAGAACCTGAACGCGCTGATCCATCTGGAGTCGTTGGCGGAGCCTATGACGGAGATGCTGGCGACGATCGAGACCGCCGAAGAGCAGATCCAGTCGGAAGTCGACGAACTCGTCAGCGAAATCGACGAGCTTCGAGTAATTGTCCATATAGGCTCCTCTAAAGATTTCCTTTCGAATTCTCGCGTGTCGTTGGGGAGCCGAGTGCATCGATCTGTGGTCGTTTGTTCAGAGTTCCATCCGGAAGCTGGAAGCCAGAGCGGTGGAGTTGGAGAAGTACGCGAACGTGCTCTTGGCGGGCATGTTTCGTGACTCCGTGTGCTCCGACGAAGTGCTGCGTTTTCAAGTGTTCATCGAGGACGCTTACGAGACCTGCATCGCGCCGAACGACGCCAATCTGGACAGTTTCTCGATGATGAAATGGATCGAGAAGACCCACGAGGAGCTCAACTTGGAACTGGACACGCTGCCGCCGGATGTGGTGCAGGTTTGCGAGAGGGAAGGCTTCCGGCAGGAGTTGAAAGCGATGCAGGAAACGGAGGAAGCGGCCAAGAAGGTCAGTCTCGGCTAATGTTTCTTTTTTTTTACTTTATAAATACAAATATTCGTCATTCAAATTGACATTTCAAGGTCAACATTATATAGGTCAATGAATTCGTCTTGAGATAAGCTACGTGTCTAGCGTGAAAAAAAACTATGTTTCCATTAAAAAAAACAAAGGTGACCTTCAAATCTCGGAGGCGCCTCCACCTAGAAAAAAAAAAAACAGTGTTAAACATTTTTTTCGAATGATGAATATTTTGCGAGATAATCGCGTGGAAAGATTATAATGAGACACCATGTATTATTTCCACACCTGTAAACGTAACCTAACGAGCCACGAGCCTAACGATATTCTCCGTTTCGTAGTTCGAGCTGATGCTTCGGTTACTGGCTTCCTTGAAGCGTGTCATGGAGCCACCGACGATAAAGATGCGGCCTCTAATGTGGCGTTCCGAGCCATCGAGTCAAAGGGCCAAACGGATACCTCCGCCGCCAGAACCCACCGACGAGGAGTGGCAGTATTTGAACTTCTTCTCCAACTATTGCAAACAAGAAGACTTCGCCACCTATCGTTCCCAATTCCCGGACGATTTCGACCTAACTTTCCGTACCAGACGTCGCAAGAGCATCGCTGAAAACAGTCGAACCTCTGTCGCCGAAGACAAGAAAACTTCTGACGAATGATCGACAGGATCGACGTCTTTAAAACGTCTTTAATTCGAGGAATTCGCTATTGGCTAACGATATCTTCGCACGGTAGACAAAATCG